TGGGCATTTGTTTATACCCTTTCCTAGGGCCACACAAATGTTAGAAGTGGCTCTATGCACTGCCAGGTGACTCAACCCCAACAGGGATAGGCTGAGAGGAAAGTCTTAAGTGGACAGCTGCAGGCTCCATCTCCTAAGTCAGAGAGCACAGGGCAGAAGTGCCCAGGGCAAAGGAGAGGAACAGGGGAAGGTTAGGACAGAGCTGGCTGAGGCTGGGAGGTGAAGTGGAAGGAAGGAGAAGAATTGGGGGTGCCAGGGAGGAGGCCATATACATGGCCTTCTATATATAGTTCACATTTGCCCATGTGCCTAAACAGAGGACACTCAATAGCCAAGAGACACTCACAAACACCGGCCCTGGGCAATGGCACTCACATTCTACTTCTCATTCCTTCTCACTGTTTTGGCCCCAGAAAAGAGGGATGGAAGTGACAAGTGCTGTAAGAACAAGGCACCCAGCGTTCCCTCCCCACTGTACTCTTCAGAGCCTGGGCTTTGCCTGGGTTTCAATCAAGACAAGAAACTGCTACTCGGATGAGAGATTGGACTTTGATTTAGATTTAACTGGACTTCTTAAGACTTGACAATGAGGCTTCTTGAATATCTATCTGAAAAGAACTTGGAAAACCATGGCATGGGCCAAGATGTTTCTTGAGGTGAGAAAGCAAGCTTTGACATATGGGGTTTGAACAGCAGTTATAGGGCGGGAGGGAAATACCAATATTTACTGACTGTACCCCCTTCAGTTCAAATGTATATTCAGTTCATATGTGTAAAATGAGGTTGATACATACGAGTTTTACAAAGGTATGAAGGATAGTGATAATACAAGTAGTTTCCAGCATGTTTCCTATGTCTAGTATAACCGCTATTGTTATTAATGGCATATTGTTGTTATTCAATGTTATTTTTGAAATTGTATGCTAATGGTGCAGCACCTCACTTTGGTTCCCTTCACCCAGTCATCCTTTCCTGAATGATACTGAAACTCTGGGTAAGTAGGAGTTTCTAGAAGGCCCCCTCTTTAGCTGAATTCTGTGACATAAACCTGGCAGCCATGGCAGTGACTGTCCCTTGACATAGGGATTTCTTCCCTGACTCAGTCAGCGGCAAGAGCAGTGGAGGAAGGTAACATTCATGGAGAACATACTAAGTGTCAGGCATAATTCTGGGGACTTTACGTATGTTTTTGCCATTTAATATTCAAAAGAGCTAGGGCCAAGGACACGCCCTGGGGCCTTCCCTCAGCAGATTCCCAGACAAGTGGAAAACTCAAAGAATGCGCTGGAAACCTTAACACTGAAATCTTGAGAACTGGGAAGTTACTGCTCTGTAGAGGCTGCCTGGGAAAGCTTTCCTCTTTCTGCAGCCAATACCTATAAGAGCTCTTCAGAGCCCACTTGCGATGACAGGGAGGAGGGACAAAGCGCAGAAGACGTGCAGTGACACCTTCTCCAGGAGCGTTTGTGTCCTGAGCCTGTGAGGCAGGCCCACTTTAAAGCTGTGAGAACTGGGAAATCTTGCCTGATGAGAATGGCTATTCACTCCTCCTTCAAAGCCTGCCATTTTGGCCAAACTTGCACATTAGATTGGTGCTCCATTCAAGAGCCGGTAATGAATTTTAGAGCAAGAACCCAAAGCCAAGGAGTTGGACCACATGTACAGGCAACTGGCAGAGTGGGTCAGAGATTTAATAATTCTGTGAAGCTCTCCTTCCAGGGATGTTACTGCCAGAGGCATCGTGTAGGAAAGACTGTCTTAGTTTGCCTCAGTTGCTGGCTGAGGTGGGACTGCCCTGGCCAGTTGATGGTGGGCAGCATGGTGATCCACTCTTCCTGGTTCACATAGGAAGAGTTGAGTGAGTAGTTATTTACCTTAGGGCTGCACACAGGTGTCTACTACTAAGGACTGAACCACATCTGATCCAATGGGAAGCATTTCTACTATGTGATGTCTCATCACCACAACAAAATAGAAAACAAATAATAAAATGGCATGGTAGGCCAGTCTCAGAAAATATATATATGCACACCTAAGAAATAATCAGGGAAAAGGATTCAACCATACAACCATACCAGTCATTGAGAAAACATAAATTCCAACAGCAGTTTTTTTGACAAACATTTCATAAGCACCTACTACATAGCAGATATTAAATCCTAGGAATTCTAAGATAAAAAGGCAGGTCTAGCCCCCAAGAGGCTTATACTCTGGTGAAAAAGACAAGCTAACAGACTATAATTGCACAGAGTCATACATATGTGAGACAGGTTGGCACAGGTGCTATGAGATGTCATAGGACACCTCATCCAGATTTGGGGGGAATGGAGAACTTCATTTGCCAATGGAATAAGGGAGGGTTAGATAGTGAAGGTGGAGAGGAGGTATCAGAGAAAGAGAAAGCAAAAACATCACCTGGAACACAGGGAACATTCTATGTAAAGGCCCTGAAGAAAAATAGTAGAGCTGGTGGTTCAAGAAGGCTGGAACCAAGACAGGGAGAAGGGAGGCTGGGGGGAGACACAGTAGACAGATCATGGAGGCCCTCTGACACCCTACTAAGTCCAAAGCACTGGGACTTTCTCCTGGAAACAGTTAACAGTCAATGAATGGTTTTAAGGCTGAGAATGTCAAGAACATATTTGCATTTGAGAAAGTTCACTGTCACTGCAGAGTGGAGAAAAACCATGGGTGGCCCAAACAGGAGTAATGAGAATAAAAGAAAACCACCTGTGAGAAAGGAGGTCATCCTAGTTTGGATTTTCTCTCCCATGCCTCCTGCATAACCTGAGAAAAAGATTTGCATGCAAGTGGTTTATTTAGGAGGTGATTCTTGAAGTACAATGAGGAAGTATGGAAGAGAAACAAGGAATGGAATATTAATAATCAAGTCCCTGCTATGGCCAATTGGCTGTGTAGAACACACATAGAAAACCAGACTGTGTATTCACCAACCAATTGGTTCACTCCCTGGTTATTCTCCTGCCAGAAGGAAATCTCTGCCAGCAAGATGAGGTAGGAAGTCTCTAGAGGACTGGTCCATGGAAGCTGCAGAGGAATTTTCAGGGCAGGTCAAGTGGCTATAAATGACCGCATCTGGTTTGGAGTTGGAAAAGGTGGCAGTTGGTCAGCGAGTGATGAAAAGGAAGTAGACAAGGCAAACACCTGCCCTAGGAAACTGTGCAGCTTCTGGTGCTATTGATTGAGAAGGGGATCACAGCACTCAAGGCCATGCCCCTGCCGCAAATTGTGATGCCTGTTCTCATCCTTGTCTTCACTCTCTATATTCAGCCAATGGTATGAAGTCCTGCTATGGTCTGAATGTTTGTATCCCCCCCAAAAAAATTCATTGGGATCCTAACCTACAATATCATGGTATTAGGAGGGAGGGCTTTGGGAGGTGTTAGACGATGCGAACGGAGCTCTCATGAATAGGATTAGTGCCCTTATAAAAGAAATCCCAGAGAGCTAGCTTACCCCTGCCGCCATGTGAGGACATAGCGAGAAGGCGCCATCTGTAAACCAGGACACAGGGGGCCCTCACCAGACACTGCATCTGCTGGCACCTTGATCCTGAACTTTCCAGCCTCTGGTACCGTGGAAAATAAATAAATTTCTGTTGTCTATAAGCTACCCAGTCTACAGTACTTTGGCATAGCAGCCCTAAAGGACTAGGACAAGTCCCTTCAATGCACCACATCAGATCTTCCAGCATCTCTCTTCCAGCATTTCCAGATCTTCCAGCATTTCTCTATGGAAATTTACACATGCACGAGGTGTCAGCAGGATCTGTGAGTTAGACCCAAGGAAAGTGACAGAGTCCCTGGGGAGGAAACCTCCCTCGCTGTGTCTCCATGAAAACGCCCTGCCTGCTGAGACAAGAGCACTTCATTTCCATAGGTGTCAAATATGTCATGATAATTACTATTATGATTATTTATTGAGCACTGACAGGGTTCACATAGAAAATGTTGTGTAAAATAATTAACGTTGTAAAAATGCAATTACTAGAATTTATTTCTTGAAACAGGTCCAAATGTAGTAGAAATTATTGCCAATAACAGGAGGAACATGCAGTGGCCAACCAGCAACAGGCTGTGTGTGGGCAAAATGTATATCTCTCTATTGTTTTCCACTAGGACTACGCTATATGCATAAGAAATGATGGTGCAAAGCTGGATATGGCCTCCTCATTTTAAAATAGTTGGTGATGCTAGATGCTTTGTGTATATGTGAAATGGCTTAGGTTAGGTATTTTGGAGTCATGAGACATGGGTTTGGGTCCTGGTTCTGTTGTTTACTGGCTGTATAACTTTGGGGATGTCACTTCACCCCCTGTTAAGTCTCAGATTTTACAACTACAAAATGAAGCAAATAATTCCTGCCTCCTTGAACAATATCTGGATCATAGTAGGCAACCATGGAGCTCCAGTGAATGAAAGAAGTATATGCATAAGGCATTTAGTATATACTAAGAGCGCAAAAAACAGTCGGCAATGATTATTGCTTTTGTATTTTATAATAACCCATAGCTATTCAACAAACTATAATCGCACCATAATTCCTTATTGCTAGCATTATTTTGTAGATCATATAAAAAGAAAGTTAAGCTATCTTGGAAAGATTACTGAATTTGGAGTAAGAAAAACTGGACCCAGGCCTCAGCTTCATCTCTCACTGGCTGTTTGATCTCAAGTAAGTCACTTAACCTCTCTGAGCCTCAGAGCTCCCTTATCTGTAAAACAGGATGATAATGCTTGGTGCCTTCACTTTACAGATGGGGTCAAAATTAAAATAAGGTCTCTGAACACACTCATAAACTGCAAAGTGCAACATAGATAAAAATGTTTGCCGTTTTCTCTGTGTTATATGCTTTATTTTACTTTGGGAGGGATTTAAAATGTTGATGTAAGACATTCATTTCAGCCCTTCCAGAGGCCTGCTCTGTTAAGGAATGTGCACTGCAGGACCTGCTGGTTGCCAGAGGACCTCCAAAGCATTCTAGGCTCTCCTTTGCATGTGACAATGCTGCCATGGGTGTCTCCAATGTGCTTTCTGGTAGTGCTCACGGAGGCTCTTACAAGCACACCAGGGGCTCCAGTTAAGGAATATGCAAGATGTCCATTCAGGTGTAGCTGCAAAGTGAGATTACAGGGACAGAGTGAGGTTGATTGGTTTGTTACTCCGACACATGCATGAATATCTTAGACCTGAGATGCATACTGAAATCTCTATTTTCTGGTCTTCCCATCATCATGAAAAGGAAAGAATTTAAAGATGACTTTATTGCCACCTAACAGGTGAATCCATGAATAGCTCATGTTGGCCTTCCAACGGCCAAAAGGAAAAGCACATTATACATACTTAGACACTGATGAGGCCACATTTTGATAGAAAACTGAGAGGATTTGAAAGGTTTTTGGTTTTTTTGGCTGGGTTTCATATACAGCTTCAAAACGTCAAACCTTCTAATTTCCTGACTACAACGTAGGATGAATCAGAAAGACAATCCAGGACTGGGAGTGACTGAGCGATCAGAAGACAGGAAGCAGATTCTTAGCTCTTGGAAGCTGCTGCGAGGTTAGCTAACTAAAGCAGATAACCAGCAGGTATAGGGGGAGTTAAGGGATGTGGGATCCACAAAAGCTGAGCACACATTCCAGCACAGCACCTTCCTCCTCGCTGTGTGTCATCAGCGAAGCCACTTAACCTCTCTGAGCCTCTGCGGTGTTGTATCTGACTTGTGGAAAAGGATTCCTTGTAACATTGTTCTGGGAATAAAATGAGCTAAGTATAAACGGCAGAGCACAGTAGATGTTATCCCCTATCTTCCTTTCTCTTCTTGGCCCTAGCTTCTCAAAAAGTAATAACCCTGAGGGGAAATGGAGGGTCTGATTAGGCCAAAAAAGAGCTCATAGTAGGCAGTGCTGCACAATGGTTAAGAGCATGGACTCTGGAGCCAGAGTGCCAGGACGCCCAGCCCGACTCTGACCACTGCAAGCTGTATGTCCTCTTAGACAAACCACTGAACTGGCCCCGAGCTCAGCCTCCCATCTGTAAAACAGGGGGAATAAGACCTGCATTATGGAGATGAACTGAGCCGGCGTCTGGAACGTGCTTGGTGCCCGGCCCCGCAGTAAGTGCCGGATAAGCACTTGTGAGCTGGAGTCCAATCTTCTCTGCCAGTCTTAGAGCAATGACATTTGGCGGACCTTTATCTTCCTGGAAGTACTCTAGCAGAGAGGTACCAGCACTTGAAAGGCATCAGTCAGCCTCATTTCTTGACTGACAGCTTCAAAAACGTATGTGCTGCATCCTGCACCATCCCCCAATGCTACATAAATCTTTATAGAATTGGATTGTAAAGAGCCAAGTATTGGAAAACCGAAAACCCTAATATCCCGATCGATCGCCTGAGAGGAGTTCAACGGCGTTTCTTTAAACCGTCTAGCATCATCCAGGCCCCGCTGTAATAGTCCTTCACCTTGGACCCAGAAGGCAGAGGGCGATGCCATCTCGGCCGCCCTGCAGTTTGTCCCTGCGCCTTTCTGGCTGCTGTCAAGTGGGACAAAATAAATGTTCAAAGCAGCCAGGTTATCTCATTTAGCGCCAATGCCCAGGATCCAGCTGTTGGCACTAATTCACATATCCCCAGACTGAATACATCTAACTCTGTGTTCCCGGGAGAGGGGGGAGAGAAAAAAGCAAGGTGTTGAGGGAGAGGAAATGCCACATTTGTTTTAGCCTCACTGCAGTCTTGGTCTGGGTCACGAAGGAAAAATAGAAAACCTTTAAGAAAGAAAAGGCGCTTAGAAAGAAGCTGTTGTTCTTTTCCTTTCCTCGGGCCCTGTGAATAAAATTCAAAGCCTCTTCTCTCCTTGACTGACCACAGATAAAAAATGATGGATAAAATATCCTCTAAGGATAGCAATTGTCCCCAGTCCAGTCACAGTCCGTGCCTTGCAGCTCAGGCAGCCAAAGAGCCGACTTGGCCACAAGGTCCCCACCAAGGGGGGAAGCACTTTGGAGTTTGAGCCATCTGGGCAGGACAAGAAGAAAAGTCTCCTACATGCTGTTCCAAGCGGGTCATGATCCTCACCCTGTCTTTTATTTCTTCTTTTCCTGGTCCCGCGCCAATTTTGAACAAGCCAGTCCTAAGGCGTGTTTGGATTCCTGTGCACTCAGCTCTCTTAGACCCTTAAAAGCTTGAGAGGAAACGTTCAAGAAGCATGATTGAGGCCAGCTGTGCTGCACCCCAGCCAAGCCACGCAAGCCGCCCTTCTCCGGGATCGATTCTGATTGCTGTGGCTGCAGGAATCCTATAGTGGTCAGCAAAGATGGCTAAGGTGGCTGGAAGGAATGAGGTGGTCTGGCCACTGTCCATGCAATCATGCCAGCCCAGGAAGTGTTCCTTCCCCAAAGCGCCTCTTGTGCAGACATCTTTCTGCTGTTTGCCAAAATGACACAATCACCTTAGAGCGAAGAGAGGAATATTTAAGAATGACTTCTGAATGCTCAGTCTTCCATCAGTCTCAATTGCCTGGCACATTTACTTCTTATGCTGAATCTCGCCTCTCATATTAGTCATTCCAGCCACCCCCAAGCAGGTTGCAATTTGGAACTCCCAGGGTGTGGTAGATTGCAGAAATGGCTATAATCCTTCACTTTTCCACTCTGTCAAATCACTGTGCACTGTGACTTGATAGTTTGTCCTATGAAGAGGAAGCATCTCTTTCCCCTCCCCTTGAATCTGAACTTGCCTTGTGCTTGTTTTGGCCAGTACGTAGAATGCCATGGACGTGTCAGTGCTCCATTTCCGGACTTTTGGCCTCAAAAGATTCTCTCTCTTTCTCTCCCTCTCTCTGTCTCTCTCTCTCTGTCTCTCTCTCTGTCTCTCTCTCTCTCTCTGTCTCTCTCTCTCTCTCTCTCTCTCTCTCTCTTTCTCTCTCTCCCCCAATTGCCATGTGAACAAGCTGGCCTGTTGGAAGATAAAAGACCATGTGGAACAAAGCCATGCCATCACAGCTGAGCCTGCCCTAGACCAGACAGCTCCCAGCTAACCAACAGCTAACTTCAGACAATTTGAATGAGCCCAGCTGAGATAAGAAGTAACCCCAGCCCAAACTGCCAACCCCTAGAATCATAAACCTAATGAATGTTTACTATTTTAAGCCAATAAATTTAGGGGTGGTTGGTTACATAGCAAAAGTCCCTCATGCACCTGATATTTTTGAGAATGACAAAAATCACCTTAAAAGGGACAGAAATAATTTTTTTTAAAAAAAAAAGGTGATGAGGTGGGGCTGGGGGGAGCTTCTGAATGTTCCATCCTGCCTCCAGCCTCAATTACCTGATATATATTTCTTCCTCTGAATCGCACCTGCCTCCTTAGCAGCTCCAGTGGCCTCCAAGCACGCTGCAGCTAGGAGTTCCCCGGGGCTTCTGCAGTGTACACAAGGTTTCTCTTCCTCAGGATCTCCAGCCTAGCGGATCCATTTCTGTTACGGGGGAAGCACAAGCCTGTTGGGTAGACAGGCGATAACACCCAGTATCCCATTCCTTGGATGTTAATTCTCCTATAGAGGAAAAAGCTGTCAGTCCTGAATGTAAAATAGCTTTATTAACATAGAGTGGCACAGTTTCTTATCTTTAGGGCTGGAAAAGCTGAGAGGCTCCAGAATGTCTTGGGAAGCAGTAGGTTCTCATGCTGGAATACCTGTACACGTAAATGTTTTTGTGTACACGATGCAAGCAGTAGGGAGAGAACTAACGTTTACTGGGTGCTGCTATTGGCCTGGCACTACGCTATCTCTTTGCTACTTTTGATAATATCTCACACCATGAGGAGGTTTGGTTAGCACCAATTTATAGATGAGGACACTAAAGTCCCCAAAGCTCAAGTAAGTTGCCCCAGATCTTACAGCCAGCAAGTAGTGGAGCTACAGTTTGATCTGCATATCACGCCATGATTTTATTTTAACTATATTGCCCAAATGAGAAGCTTCTGTATAAGGGTATCAGAAGATCTACAAGTATTTGATTAAAATAGTTGTCTTATATTTATCTATTTAAAAGACTGTAGTAAAAGTCCATACTCCAAAATATGCTACATTCTAACATTTAACATAGTAAGGAACACCATGAACTTGTCATTTGAGGGTATCTGAATGCATTTTATTGTATATAGACTTTAGAATAAAGTTACCCTGGATGTCTTTGGCACATATTCAAATATCTATTAAATATGCTATTGGTTGGGAAGATAGAAAATTTGCACTGTTCCCCCCCCCCCCCCCCCTTTTTTATTTTTTTCATTCAGGCTTGTGTGCATTGGCTTAAGCGAGCATGCTACCATATGGATATGCAACCTACTTAATTAAATACCAAGCAGTTCTTTTGCATACCTGCTTGGCCTGTGCCTAAATCATAGCATTGTAAATAATTGTAAATAACCTGGGAACACATTGTGATAAATGCATATTATGATGGTTTCAAACTTTTCTGATAGTTGGAATGTTATATTTATGATCAAGAAGACAAGCATTTGTTGGGATGGGAAAACCAAGATGAGCAGGGTCAAACAGCTTCAGTGTCCATCCAAACTTGATGTTATAGTTGAGGGGAACTGAGGTGGGAACAAATTGGGCCATGACAGAGGTGACAGCTAATCCCCCAGACTTCTGGCTACCACCAGATATTAGAACCACTAAATTTACAGATTAGGAAGGGAGAGCTGCCCTCTGGCCTGCAAGGTGAGCCTGGACAACCTCCTGCTGGAAGGAATCCTCACAGGACAATCTCTGTCCCCACCACACCTTCCAGGGGAAAGGAAGGAGGACAGGATAAGCAGGACCAGGCCTGCGATGGATGAAAAGGTAGAAGTTTACTTTTTTACCAGAGCAGAAGAATCCCAGCTAAGTAAGGCAGAAGGCCAGGTCTGGTTCTCCCAAAATCTTGAGTCAATGAATCATTCAGCTTTGAGACAAAAATATCCCTCTCTCTTCCTCTTCTGTGCTTCTGTAACAATTTAATTACAGCTTATTCTGAGATTGAAAAGCAAGCTATTTACAAAAATAAAACAAAACAACAAAAGACATGTTTCTATTTGCAAACTTATTTACGTGAATCTGGAGAC